CTTACAGGGCCCAGCAATGCGCCTGGAAGAGCTAATGAGCCCTAAATAATGCCATCACGTGCCAGGCACCGTTGAGGCCCTTCCTGCCGGGTCATCTCTCAGTGTTCACCAGGGCCCCGTGCACAGGGAGGGCACCCTGGCTCTTACATAACCAGTGCTCCGTGAACGTTTATAGGTCCAATCACGGGCTTTGATTCACACCAGAGATTAGGTTTCTTTCACGGGCCAGCCTCTGCTTGCAGGGGTCAATTCATTTGGACGCTACGTTGAGGAAGATTCTGTGGTTGTAGAGGGCGGAATGGTAACCCCGCCCCCAAAAGATAGGACCACATCCTAACTCCAGCCCCAACAGCACCCGGAACACAGTAGGCATAGTGGGTGTTTGCTGGGTAGGTAATGACTCAGTGCTTTGCTCAGCTGTTTCAAGGTTATTAAAATTTGCAAAGCCAACTTCACATTGGTGGGACCACAGTGGGGCCGAAGGGAACCAGCCAAAAGCAGGGTTTGGGTAGATCTGGTCCTCCCGTTGGAGGGGCGCTTACATAGTCGCCCGCTGCTGCTGAGAAAGGGTTAAACCTTGGCCAGCCCGGCCTGGGTGCTCTCCAGCTGCCCCGCCCCGTTACCCTGCCTCCAGCTGAGATTAGGCCATTAGTTTACTCATAAACAGGTGGCACACTCCACCTGAGCAGCAGAGATAAGGCCATTTCCAAGCTGCAGCCCTGCGTGCTGCTCTGCACCCCAGCCCGCCCGCTGCCTTGGCCTCAGCCGCCCGGGGCTTGTCCTTCAGGCAGCTGCCCTGTCCTTCGGAAACCCCTAGGTTTTTATTAAGACTTGGGGGTCCTGGCCGGGTGGCTCAGTTGGTTGGGACATCATCCTGTGTACCAAAGGGTTTGGGGTTCAATTTCTGGTCAAGGCACATACCTAGGTTGCAGGTTTGATCCCCAGTCAGGATGCATATGGGAGGCAGCCAATTGATGTCTCTCTCTCTCTCTCTCTCTCTCTCTCTCTCTCTCTCTCTCTCTCTTTCTCTCTCTCTCTCTCTCTCTCTCTCCTTCCCTCCTGGCATGTCCAGTGTCCCCCTCAATGTGCCTCCCTAGTGATGCATCAGGGCTCATCGATTTTCCTGTACTCTGATCTGACTCCCCATCAGACAAACTTAATCAATCTTGGTTGCTTGATGGATCAGCTGATACTGAACCAATGGAAAATTATATAAATACTAGAGGCCCAGTGCATGGATTTGTGCACTGGTGGGGTCCCTTGGCCTGGCCTGCACACTCTCGCAATCCGGGACCCCTCGGGGGATGTTGGAGGCCTGGTACATGGATTCAGCCCAATCCCTGCAGGCCAGGCTGAGGGACCCCACTGGTGCACAAATCCGTGCACCGGGCCTCTAGTATGCATATCAGACCTTTGCTTAATCTCTTCTACCCCTCCCCTCCCCCTGCTTCCCTCTGAGATTCATCAGTTGGTTCCATGTTTCCATGCCTGTGCATTGAGTGTCTGCCCCTTGGTGGTCAGTGTGCATTATAGCTACTGGTCGAACAGTTGAACGGTTGAGCGGTCGCTTAGGCTCTTTTATATATATTTATCAAACATTGTACTAGTGGCTAGATCACTGGGAGGTCCTATTTGGCATAAATCACACCCCCCAGGACCAAGGTGGTTCAAGGGGACGGAATTCCCCTGGGAGTCAGGAACCTTGAGCCGAGGTTTAGCTGGCGCTCCACCACTTCCTGCCTGTAAGACCTCCTTCAGTTGCTCTCTCTCTCACAGTCCGCATTTCCTCACCTGCAGAAGATGGGCTCAGGTGGAGTTCCCTGCAGGTGAAGACTGGCACTGAGGCACGTGTGCGGGGACAGCGCTGAGTGTTGCCAATGCCTCCCCGCTCCCAAGCAGTGAAACCCAGTCCTGTAGGTCTTCCCATCCCCAGTCTCGGACAAAATGTCTCTAAGTATTTGTGGCCCATCCCCCCTTCCTTCCCCTTCACTCCTCAACCACAGGCCCCCAGGGGATTCTGGAGCAGGCTCCTCTCCCACAGCCCGGGCTTGGCCAAGCCCAATTTCTTCATCCAGGATCAATGATTTCTTCTTCTCCTTGCCTTCAAGAACAATAATGAATCATTCGTCAGCCCACAGCTTTTCTATTATCCCCTGCCTGCCTTTGGATTTCCTCTTTGGCTGTGTAATTGGCCTTTACAATATCCTTTCCACGCTAACAGAAATGAAGCCCTCGGGAGGAGGGGCTGGAGGACGCCTGGCCTCCTGGGCCAGGAGTTTGGGGAGTCCTTGACTCCTACTGCTCCCCCACCACCACCCCCACTGCCACCCCTGGCAGCTCCAGTCACCAAGTCCTGCTGCCCTTTTCTCTTAAGAATGTCCTGTATTTTACATGTATGTTCTGTTTTGAGGCACACTCCCCTGCCCCCTCCCCATAGAACTTGGATTGTGATCCAGGGCTGGAGGCTTGAAGGTAGGTGGTTTGAGGATGAGTATGTAAGCCAGTGGTTTGGAGACCTCTGTGCACTAGTTGACTTCTACTGTCCTTTGGCTCCAGCCTCACCTCCTCCAGGCAGCCTCCCTGGGCTCCCAGCACACATGAAGCCCTCTCCTTCGACCTTTTACTGGTGTTGGGGACCATGGCTTCAATGCAACGCCAAACTGCAGGAGCTAACAAATGCAGTGTCCACCCCCAGCACAGCACACGGAACTGACCTCTTAGGGGGTGGGTACCCAGACCTCTCGCCTCCATACCTCCCTCCCTCCATCCTCTTTCTCCATCCCTCTCAATGTTTCTCAGAGGAAGAGAAGCCACAGGGGGGCCAGAGCCAGCCCGTGGAAGCTGACCAGGGAGACCCCCTCTTAAGCTGGGCCCCGTGCTCCAGCAGCGTGACCAGGAGCCTCTCGCACCTCCCTTTCCGGGAGCTCCTGGCGCTGCTACCAGGAACTGCCCGAGCATCACCGACAGGAGTTGGCAGGGGCTCTGTGTTGTCAGAGAGCAGACATCCTTTCATGGCTATGCCCATGGCATTCTGGGCTGAAGAAGAATGGAGGCTGGAGTGTAGTGGGCCTTGGTTCTGAATGGCCACCTCCTCCCAGGAGGCTGGTCTCTCTTCGGGACCCTCACACCCAGCCCCTGCCCAGCCGGCACCTACCAGGCCTCCCGTGACAAAGGAGGGGCGTCAGGAGCAGGCAGTGACATTATCAGGGGAGACGGTGGGATTGCAGAGTCCATTCGGGCACATGTGGTAGCAATGAGATCAAGTGTGATAAAAATCCTGGTCCGGCTTCAGGGACCTGCGATTGAACTCTGCCTATGACCTCATCTCCCTGGTGACATTGATGGGGTCCCTTCCTCCCCCAGACTCAGGCTTCCCTTCTGTGCAGCAAGGCATCAGCCTATCCCAAGTTTTCTAAGGCCTCACAGTCTGACACTGGCCCTCCTCCTCCCTTCCCTCCCTCAGCCACCCCACCCACACCCACCTCCATGGCCCGGAGAATCAGGCTCCGTGCGGCAAGGACTCCCCAGGAAAGAAGCTGAGGCGGTTCCAGGGAGCCCCTCATTTCCTCTTCCCAGGTTCCCTGATTTGGTCTCCGGTGGTCAGTCCTGGTCTCCTCAGTGCTCGGTGCAGCGGATGAGAGTTTCGGCCTTGGCATCCACGAATCTGCGTTTGAATCCTGGCTGTGTCCCTTCATCAAGTTACAGAATCTCTCCCCAGGCCTCAGTTTTCTCTCCTCTAAAATGGGCACAACAGTATTGATCGCATTGGATGGTTTTGAGGATTAGATGCCATTGGGCAGGTCAAGTCCTAACACAGTGCCTGGCACTGGGTGAACCCCCAGTGAGTGCTGCTATCCTCATCATTAACATCATTGTTATCACCTCCCCTCTGCTACTTCCGGGAGAGAGCTCTGCAGGGCCTGAGGGGGCAGTGTGCGCAGCCTGTGTGTGGCCTGTGCAGGAGGCCAGGGGGCCCTGGCTTGAGCCCCCTGTGTGCATATCCGAGGAGGGGACTCTAACTAGAAGACCTCCAGTTTCCGCGCGTGACTCCCAACATGCACTGTGCCAGGCACCCCTGCGAATCGCCCGTGCACACACTCGTGTGCTGTTGTGAGGACAAAAGCGCTCCCTCTGCCTGGCACTCGGCCCAGCGCCTGCCCACAGCCCTCGGTGACCTGGAGCCCACGGTACTGCTGTCCCCGGCAGCAGCATTAGCCACGTCAGAGGCTGCACTGCGGTGTGTTGTGGTGCAAGGGTCAGAAGACCCGGGTGAAAACAGTCTGGGGACTTCAGGCAAGTTGCTCAACCTCCCTGACCCTCAGTCTTCCCGTCTGTTAATGGGCAGGCCCACCCTTCAAGGGGTTGAGGAGGGTTAAATGACCCAAGCACAGTTATGAGGACCATGTGGGCTGTCAAGATTGGGCGATGCCCAGCCCATAGTTTGTGTCCAATAGATGGGCTCCTTCCACGCGCCTACCCCATCCCTGCAAGCCCCCGTCTTTCCCTTGGGGCCTTTGCCCTGTCTGCACACCAGTGCGGGAGGGAGGGAGCTTGCACCCATTCTCTCTGCCTGCGGTCCCTGAAGCCGCAGCTGCAGGCTGTCCTTGGCCCCCAGTTGAGTCAACCAGCAGCCCAGGGACAGGGAAACTCACAAGGAAAGGACGCACACAGTTTTCTGTTGGTTTGTTTTAATCAAAAAGAAAATAAGAAAACAAAAAAACACTTCCCAGGGTGTGCTGTGCGGAAGGACCGCAGGCGTGTAAAGTACATACAGAAGCGTGTAAAGTATATACAGAAGCGTGTAAAGTACATAGGGAAGCAAGAGCAGTCCCAGGAGCTGCTCTCGGACCCTGGCGGGAGCAGGCCCTCCGCGAGGCCTGTTCTGACACTCACTTCTCGGGCTGTGAAAGGGAAGCGGGTCTCCGGCCTGTTTCTCTTGGAAGGCTCAGCCGCCGCCCGCTCACCGGTCCATGACGTGCACACAGGGAGCTGGTCTTTGCGAGGGTTTGCGGGTGGGGAGCACCGGGTGGGGGGCTGGGGGTGCACCACTCCTGTCCCTGCCCTGCGGGAGGTCTCCGGGTCTGGGAAAATGGTGCCCCTCTGCGGGGGCATGGCCTGGGCTTCTCGCCTCCAGTGGCGGCGGAAGGAGTGCTGCAGGGAAGCTGGGGCCATAGCACGACTTGACCAGGATGGTGTGTGCCCGGGGCTGGTGCTAAGTTCTGATGGACGGCCAGAGGCAGTGGGTGTGCTTGTCACAACCAGCTTTCACACGGACGCTGCTCAGTCAATCCCTCCACCCCTCCCTCCATTGGCCACTCACCAGTTTGTATGACCCAGTTTTCTCATCTGTAAAATGAGGACCTTCATAGGACCCCCACAAGGTAGCTAGAGAGTAAGTGTGGCTAGGCCTTCCGAGCCCAGTACGGCTCCAGGCACATAGTAAGTGCTCAACAAAGGGCCGCCTTGGTGACTGTCATTCAGGCACCAGCATTTCCAGTGCCAAGTTGTGGGTGTGTGTCCAGGTGTGGGTGACACGGAAGGTTGACACCGGGTTCCGGAAACAGGAGGAAGTGCTCTGAGCCTCCTGGTCTGTCTGGGCAGCCGGGGGACCTGGGGCACGTCCACGTGGCTCAGGGACTGCGCAGTCCTAGACCTCGGTGCCCTCCCGGGGGTAGAGGACGCTGTTCGTGTTGATGCTGTTGTAGAAGTGGGGGCTGAACTGGTTGAGAACAGAGCCTCCGTAGCCCAGAGCATTGGTGGGCATGGGGTTGGCCCATTCGCCCCCGGCCCCGTGGCCGCCGAGGCTGGTGAGTGGGGTGTAGGAGTTGAAGTTCCCCAAGTTCTGCCCCATCTTGTCAGTGGGCTCGGGACTCAGTCCCGGCGTGGCCACAGGGCGGCTGGCGGGGCTGGCCCCGCTCACGTAGGACGTCATGGAGGAGAGGAAGCCGTTGAGGCATGGGGTGCCCGGGGGCCCTGGGGATGGTCGCTGCTCGGGGGAGCCGGCGGAGCCCGGGGAGGTGCCTTCCAAGATGTCCTGGGCGTCTGCGCTCTTGGGGCTGCCCGCCAGGAGCCCGCTCTCCGCCTTCTCCCCGGGGCCCGACGAGACGTCCGACTTCCTCTTCCTCTTCCTGCGGAAGTTTCCGTTGTCGAACATCTTCTCACAGTTGGGGTCCAGGGTCCAGTAGTTCCCTTTGCCTGTGCGAACGAAAGCGGGGGAGGTGAGTGGAGAGACAGACACGGCGCTTTGCTCTTATTCCTCCCACTGTCAAGTCAAAACACAGGGAACAACCCGGAAAGACAGAGAACAAAAGTCAGAGACTGAGAAGGGAGAAGGGTTCCAACCCCTCGCTGCTCGGAGCTCAAAGACAGACAGGCAGGGGCTGTGACCTTGTTCACAGCAGTCTCAGAAGTTCAAGTACTGGGGGTGGAGTTGGGGGGAGGGTGGGATGAGGAAGAAGAACACTTGGGAAAAAAGGCAGGGCTCCCCCAAAGTCCCAGGCATGGACTCCAAAGATGGACTTGAGTCTCCACTTTGCTCCTCACTGACTGAGGGGTTCTGGGCGAGCCTCAGTTTCCTAGTCTGAGAAGTGGGCCTGTTGTACCTGCCCTTCGTCCTCAGGCTGAGTGGAAAGGAAGGCGCTAGGTGTGTGACTGGGAAGTCCGAGGGCCCCAGGTTAGGTCTGAACTCTGCCTGCCTGTCTGTCTCTGGGCCCGAGGCTACGGCCGGCTATTGAAGGGACACACACTGGCCCCCTTGCTAGCCTCCAGGTGGTGGAGCTGGTCCCCCCTCCCCACACTGCCTCCTGGCTTCCTGCGATGGGGCCAGAGCGGACTTTCATTCTGGGCGTGGAGACGTGAGTGTTCAGTACACTACGCTCCGGACATCTCCGCATTGGAGAAATTCACCATTGAAAGGACAGGTCCGCAGTCTGGTGTCAGAGGCCTGCGTTCAGGTCGCATTCCAGCCAATCCCTCCATACTGCCGAGCGGGCAGGCGTCTCCCGCCTGCTACTTGCCTTATCTGTAGAATGGGTTTCCCAAAAGCCGCCCCGCAGCGGTGGATGAAAGGAGGTGATGTAACCAGGGCAGCAGCAGAATTCGGCCCTTGGTGGCTGTTCAACAAACGCCCCGTCTCTTCCCAGCAGCCCGGGACCCCCTGGGTTTCCATTTCAGTCTCTCACCCCCCAGGACTCCTATGAGCTGCTGCCGGGGGTCCAGGCCCATCAGCCACCGCTGCAGACCGCGGGGGCACCCCCGGGCACCACAGCCTCCAGGGCCCCGGGTCTCCTTCACTGCTGACTCCCCTCAGCACCCCCAGTTCTGGGGGGCATGCTCAGATTTAGAACTTTCTAGAAGGGGATGTGAGGAAGGCAGCGAGCCTTCCCTGGGCACCAGGGGCTGCGGATGCAGCGGCTACCGCGCCTCCCCGTTACCTGGGTCGTCCTCGTCGCGGGGCACCTTCTTGAAGCAGTCGTTGAGCGACAGGTTGTGGCGGATGGAGTTCTGCCAGCCGGCCTTGCTCTTGTTGTAGAAGGGGAAGTGGTCGGCCACGTACTGGTAGATCTGGCTGAGGGTGAGGCGCTTGTCGGGCGCCCCGTGGATGGCCATGGCGATGAGGGCCGAGTAGGAGTAGGGCGGCCGCACCAGCTTCATCAGCTCCTCCTGCGACGGGATGGGCAGCCAGCCCAGGTCGCCGCCCCCCATGCCGGACACGCCGGGCAGCAGCTGCCGCTGCACCCCGTAGGCCTGGGGCAGGAAGGGGCTGGCGTTGGGGCCCGGCAGGTAGGGCTGCGGGGTCATGGCCTGCCCGTTGAGCCAGAGGTAGGGGTTGGGGGTGGCCCCGTACTCGCCACCCGCCTCGAAGGAGGGAGGCCGCTGTGGGCTGGGCAGGCCCTGCGGGTGGAAGAAGTTCTCGTAGTACAGGTTGACTTCGGGGGGCTCCTGGCCGATGCTGGGGAACTGGGGGCTGCAGTGCGGGGGCGAGGGCACCGGGAGGTCGAAGGAGCTCATGCTGGGGCTGGGCTCCGGAGCACCTGCTGCCACCTGCACAGGGAGCTGTCCCTGCAGGTGCTCCGCAGCCCCAGCTCCCACTTATACCCGGAGGGCTTGGGCGCCGCCCCACCCAGGGGCGGCCACCTGCGGCAGACCCGCCCCTCGGCCCAGCGGGCCGCCCAGCCCACAGCCACCTCAGTCCCGCTAAGGACCTGCCCAGACTTGCATTGCAGCAGAGGTTCCCTCTGTCCCCACCGCTCTCCTTTCTCAGCCTATTTGCCCCCTTTCCCTCCTTCCTTCGTCTCACTTTTCTCTTTCCTCTTCTCTCCTTCTCATATTTCTCTCCCCTTCACGCCTTCCTTCTCTCTCTCCTGCCATCCTCTGTGCATGTTTTTCCTTCTTCCTTTCCTTCTCTGCCTCTCATGATGTCTTTCTCCCCTGCCCCCCACCCCCACCCGTCCCTGTGCTCCTGGGCCCTGCGTCTCCCTCCTCCTGCTCTCTCTCCTCATCTGTCTCTAACTTCTGTCTGGGCACGTCTCTCTCTCTCTCTCTCTCTCTCTCACATTTCCTCTGCGTTTCTTCCCCCATCAGGCTGTCCTGGCTTTCCCACAGACCCCTCATTCGCTGCCCCTCCCACAGCGGGTGAGACACGGCACCAGAAGCCACATTTTGGGTCTTGAAGTGAAGACATACTTGGTGGAGTTTCCAGGAAGGAACCTGGTTCTGGGAATTAGGAGAGCGGAGGGGAAAGGGCCGGGTGTATAGGTGACCTCCCATCACACGCACATGCATGCATTCTTACACACAGATGCACACACATACATACACACATATACACAGACACACACTAGCACACACACGCGCGCACACATGCACACTGCATCTATACACATGCATGCATTCTTACACACAGATGCACACACACATACACACACACACACATACACACCTTTTCTCTTTCCTCTTCTCTCCTTCTCATATTTCTCTCCCCTTCACGCCTTCCTTCTCTCTCTCCTGCCATCCTCTGTGCATGTTTTTCCTTCTTCCTTTCCTTCTCTGCCTCTCATGATGTCTTTCTCCCCTGCCCCCCACCCCCACCCGTCCCTGTGCTCCTGGGCCCTGCGTCTCCCTCCTCCTGCTCTCTCTCCTCATCTGTCTCTAACTTCTGTCTGGGCACGTCTCTCTCTCTCTCTCTCTCACATTTCCTCTGCGTTTCTTCCCCCATCAGGCTGTCCTGGCTTTCCCACAGACCCCTCATTCGCTGCCCCTCCCACAGCGGGTGAGACACGGCACCAGAAGCCACATTTTGGGTCTTGAAGTGAAGACATACTTGGTGGAGTTTCCAGGAAGGAACCTGGTTCTGGGAATTAGGAGAGCGGAGGGGAAAGGGCCGGGTGTATAGGTGACCTCCCATCACACGCACATGCATGCATTCTTACACACAGATGCACACACACATACACACACACACACATACACACACGCACACGCACACACACACATGCACACTGCAGCAGGCAGAGAGTGGGCTGCGGACAGGTCGGAATTATTCTGCAGGAGCAGTTGGGCTCATAACATGACAAGAGGAAGAGCATGTGAGCTGGACTGAGAGCGCGGACTGCACTGTCCCAGCTCCTTTCTGGCTGCAGGGACCAGGCAGGCTGGCAGCCCCTTATCTGATCAAAGTCCTTTCATGTTTCAGCTTGCAGAGGCCCGGGAGGGGGAGGGAGCCGGGCCAGGGGAGAGCCCTCCACCCCTCAGCCCGCCCAGCCCATCTCTGCCTCAGGCTCCAGGCACAGGACTCCAGCCCCCCCCCACCCCCCCAGCCTGCTCTCCAGGCATTACCGCCAGGCCCTCCCTCTGGGGGCTCCAGCCTCCATCCGCAGCTGGGACGTGGCTTGTTCCACCCCCCCTCACCCCAGGGCAGGCCCCCAGCTTGGTGAGTGGGTGGTGGTCCCCTGAACAGACTTCCCTCAGGGTCAGCAGATGGAAAAGTTCCAGCCAGCCTCTCTGGTCACCACCTCCCTCCTGCACTCACACCTCTGCTTCCTACTCACATTCAACTTCCTCTCCCTTCCTCCAGGCCCCATAGGCCTTTGAGCCCAAAGGAGGAGCCCACCTACTCCTCCAGCAGGAGGTGCTTCCGGGATCCTCCCTGCCGGTCCCTCTGCTCCCCTCTCCTGTGTGGAGACACGTGGAAAGTGGAATGTCATGGATGGATCTCGTTGGCCGCATCTTGGTCCCCAGAGGATGACGGAGTGTCGGGGTGGGAGGGGTCCTCCCAGGCCCTGAGGAACCACCTGTCCCCACCACGGAACAGCCAGCGTGTGAAGGGTGGCTCAGAAGGGGCCTGATTGCACGTTCGTTCCAAAGAGTAGGAAGCAAAGAGGCCACACTTTTGGATCAAAGGTCTCCACGAGGCCTGGCTGCTGTCTTTTTAAAGAACAGTCCCCGTGGGACCCACCAATGCAGACCAAAGCCTCCCCCTCCACTTGTGATCGTCCATCCCCCAGTTAGCCAGAGCAAGCATAGCTCCAGGGCTGCCCACCCCAATGCTACCTATGGCCGGAGCCGTACAAACTGTCACTGACCCGAATGTCCAGCAATAGGGGGCCGGTCAAATGAATTTCTCACCATCCAAACGATGAAAGCGATTGTAGCATCTTGTGGAGAGATGTGTATGTTCTAATAACATTGGGATACTATTGAGATACCATAAGTGGCAGGAGGTGGGAAAAAGTGTATATTCATTCACATGTATGAAATATATAAATAAAAGTACCAAACTGTCAATTATGATTTCTGCATGGGAAATTGGGTGTGATTTCAGTTATTGTTACTTTTCTGTAATTTCTGATTTAAGTGGTTACACAAATGCGGGCCACTTGCTTTGGGGGTTCGGGGTAAAAGGCCAGCAAGAGGCAATGTGGTAAAGACAGAGGGCACAGCGCTTCTGGTCGGGGGACCTGGGTTCAAACCCCAGCTTTGCTGCTGAGCAGCTGTGCAAACCTTGACACATGACGTCACATTATTGGCTTGTGTTCTCAGGTGGAAATGGGAAGGGTACCACTTCGCTCCCGTAGTGGCTGTGAGCACCCGAGGAGGAACCCATGTCACTGTGTGAATCATTTCCCACGGAGCCCAGAGGCGCTCGGTAACTGTGGTGATTGTGGCATAGTCAGGGCACGTTTCATAGGTGTGATCACCCCGGGTTTGCGATGCTCACTGTTCCCTTCCAGCAGCCTGCAGGCAGGGAGGGGTGG